CATGCTTGTTAAAAATAAAGATGCCTGGAGGTTTTGCGTTGGTTACGGAAGGCTGAACGCCCTTACCAAAAAAGATGTATGTCCAATTATTAGTATTGACGATATTATTGACTGCTTCCACTCGGCTTCCCACTTTTCTCCAATAGACCTATGATCAGGATATTGGAAGATACCTATGCATCATTCAGACAAGCAGAAGACCACATTCGTGACGTCGTTACAACTTTGCAACGCCCACGTCAACTTTGCTAGATTATGTACACTGTCCTTTGTGGTCTTATATGAGAGGCGTGCTTATGCTACCTGGACAACGTCATCATTTTTGGGCGTACATTCGAAGAGCATAACGCCAATTTGAGCCTTTTTTTGGTCTGTCGGAAAGGCTGGCTTAATTTTGAACTCTGAGAAGTGCCGGTTTGGTGAATGACAAGCATTAGTCCTCGGTCATCTAGTTGACAAAGATGCTGTCAGGCCAGATCTCCGCGAAATTGAAGCAGTCAGCCAATTTAAACCACCCTAGACACTGCAGAAACTTCACAGCTTCTTGAGCTTATGTTCCTATTTTCGTCGCTTTGTGCCCCGATTCACAAACGTGGTACACCTATTGACGAGCTTGTTGCAAAAAGGCAGCCCATTCAAATGAACACTTGAATGTGATGCCGCATTTTTGAAACTGAAGCTTCTACTGACATCAGAGCGTATTCTTCGTCATTTCGATTCATCTGCTTTTACTTAAGTGCACAGTGACGCAAGTGGAATTGCCATAGGAGGTGTGCTTGTTCAGAATCATATTATTGCAGAACATGCCGTTGCTCATACAAGTCAATCTGTAAGCAAGGCCGAAATCAATTATACGGTGACAGAGCAAGAATGATTAGCGGCTGTATTCGCGTTAAGAAGTTTCGTTGTTACCTCTACGGCCATCCGTTTACGACTGTGACAGACCATCATTCATAATGTTGGCTTGTTACCCTCTGAGACCCTTCTGACCGCCTTGCACGATGGGCTTTACGCTTTCAGAAATTTGACTTCGGCATTCAGTACAGAACTGGACGACGTCAATCGGACGCTGATTGCCTTTCTCGCCTACCTATGACCACGACGGAAGACAGTGCAGATACCCTCTACATCTGTTTTTCTGTGGCCTCTCACACGTTTTCTGCCGCCAATATGCCAAGGTTCGATGCTGGCTCAATTGATGCGTTCAAAGCTCACACGTGAGAGGGCATGTGAGTTTCTTCACTCCACGTCACGCTTTTCGAAGTCAAAGGCAGATGAAGCACCTACGGCTTTGGCACGAATAGTCCTTGAATGCCGGGCAGCGACAATGAACAGTCATTTCTTGTTAAAAGGAAGGTTAGTCTAAAGGCAGCACATGGCATAGTTTTCTGCTTCTACTGAATCAGCAAGCAAACATGGGACGAAGTATTAGTTGTCGATATCTTTTGTTTTCTTGTATTTCTTCTTCTCAGGGGCTGGCACTTAAAGCTGCTTCAAGTTCATTGGTAATATTATTATTGTGGGCGTGGCGAATGACACTAAAATATTCTTTATCACCTATACAAAATTTTTGTCATGAAGCCAGGGAGCGTAGGCATTTCTAAGCTTCGAGAAATTATCCCTATGCTTTCAATTGTACACAGATCATGATGAAACTTTATTCAGAAGAGTTGATGCGGAAGAAGCACAATGGTGTAACAAAATTTTCATTCAAATAACCTATGTTTTGTGAAAGCCAATTCCTAATCAACACACGCTATTCTTTTCCATGTCAGAATGTGCGTGGACGGCCCTTCGGCCGTTGCGAACACTCCAACGCATTTGTCTATGGCGCCTCAACATTATTGACTTCAGCTGCGTCTCAAGCTTGGCCTGGCTAACGACCTTCCAAGTTGTCTTTTTTTTCTTGAACTCACCGTCCTAAAAGGCAGAGGAAAGGGACGCTGCTACAATGAATTCGGGCTCTAAATGAGTGCGCGTGCCCTTCCGGGCGCAACGAACGTCAAACAATAAAGCTCCCATCATCTTGAGTTAGCCGATGTACCGAGTTGTCTCGCGTAAACGTTCGAGTGGGAAGAGGGCTCCGGCTGTCGCCTCCGGCTGGTGTGTTTGGTGGCATCGCGAAGACTGGGGTCGTTGATCCCAGCTTCGCCACTTGGACAACTTCCGCCTCCTCGTCGTCAACGAAGATCCGTCTGCGGAAACGTCTCACGAACGAAAGCGTGCTTCACTGAAGCTTGTACAATTAGCGCTGTATGCATGACGCAATTTGTTCGCTTGCTCGGCTATTTACTGCAGGCCGCTTCTCTGTCCTGCATTTATGCAGGACGGAATGTTTTTTTTTTTTTATGCGGTGTGAGCTTACTCTGGCTGGGCGGGCCTAATATAAAGGACGTGAACAATGTGGAGTTTATGTCTTGTGGCATGGTTCATGAATTCAACAACGTCCTGCAACAACCTTTGAGATCAAGTTTAGTAAAACTTGTTGGGCTGGTTGCAACATGCTTACGGAAATGCATATTTATATTAAACGCGTAAACATCAAGGAAGCCCTCCACACAGAACACATAAAGGCTTCACGAAAAAATACTTTTATTCTCTGAAAAGTAGCGTCATAGGGTCCTGTAATGTTTCGTCCCAAAGCAACCACCATTTTTTTTCACATTCTACCTTCCACTGAAGTATAGACAACCTCTTCGCTCAATATAGCATAATTTGTTATAGTTATGTGATGGACCACTACGAGTAAGTCTGCTGTATGTTTATTAGTTATACGGTGCGCTTGCTCTCGCAAGAGTTATATAACTTTATTATGTAATGTTTAGGTAACACAACAACGTGCTTATAGTGAGCATTTATTATTTCCTCTTATTAAAACTTTTATATTGTGTTGTGTGGCCCCCCACACACAAAACTCCTGTTCGAGCCTCTGCGGTGTATATATACATATAATAGCCTCTGCGGTGTATATATGTAAAATAATATATAGCAATGATAACCATGTGCGAAGACCATCGCGTCCCACGCTCGTTCATGTACACTGTATTAAACGAATCACAAGAGCTTTTTTAGTCAAAAATGTTTAAAAAAGTAAACTCTCCTAATGCAGAAGAACAACAAATGTGTCTCGCACATTCTTCTAGTTAGTGTAATACGCTCTTATGTAATGCTAAACATTATGGTATTATTTCTCTTATCAAAAGCGACAATACAAAACGCAGGCTCACATTTGTAGCAACCTCACTGTGCAGGAACATGTAACAAAAGTTTGTTCTTTACAGAAAGTTTACGTTCCCTGACTACGTAATATTTACACCGGTCGTTTTGGCCAAAGCATATCCTTACTGAGCTGATTATCGTACACCGTGCCAACCTAATAGGTGGAGTACAACCATGCGTGCCTCTTCCAAGGTGCGTAGGGTGGAGGCGCATTCAAAATTTTAGTGCACATACCAGCCAAAATGCCCCCCCCCCCCAAAAAAAAGACAGATGCCACGAACCACGGGGATCGTTATGACAAGCATGCGGCGCGAAGGTGAGTGTGGTGTAATTTTTCATTGAGTTCAATGCTATGAAATGAAACTAAAAATATGTGCACCCCCTTTAGCGCCCCCTCCCCCAAGAAATTAAACGCAGACTCCACTGAAAATGCGAATTTCCGCTCCACTAGTCCTCGACGCTTCTAACGTCGCTGGTAGATTAATATGTCGCGCGCACTACAACGGACTGATCAATTTATTTAAAGGATATTTTCTGAGGCAAAAGGGTAAGAAAGATTCTTCGAGAATTTTGTGTTACGAAAACTATTATGGGTGGAGGTACAAATGTTATACCCGCACACATGCATTGAAAAATGGCCGCGCTCTTATGGCTGCGCCATCGCATTTGCAAAGACGTTGATTTCTCTGGACGACAAAATTTAATACTGTGATTTTCGTGGGCTCATTACTGTAACTTTGAGAAATTTTCTAATGCGCTGGTTTCTGTTAGCACCGCGTCTTCGTGGTCGTATACGCGTGTTTGCGCATAATGCATTTTTAGGGCGGCGGGCAGCAGGTGATTGCTTGCGTTGTGGCATTGAATGAAAGCGGTAGCGCGGTACACGATGTCTATTACACCGGTGTTTATGGAGTAAATTATGAGGAGGAATCAAAAAAGGAAGAAGGTCACAGAAAGCGGCTCTTATAGCCGCAGAAAGGTAGACAGATAAAAGATCAAGTCATCAACCTCCGTTCGCTAGGTGGTGGCACTTGCTCGCTGATCAAAGTTAACCTACATTTTCCGATGAAGGCCACTCAACTCCGCTATTTTCTTCGGCTCGGAAGCGCTAGTGCTACGATTCGCTAATATCTTCCTAAAGTTGCCCGTTTCCTGTCAATGTATTTACTTTTTGAAGTTTTTTTTCAGATACTGCAACTACGGAAGTAAAGAATTTGATATTTATTACAAAGCGAACCATTCACCTTGTTCTTACACCTAGCTGACGAACAAGAAAATACGCCGCTCTTTGAATAAGCAAAATATGTGCCTTCCGTCTAGAAAAGTTTTGTTCTTGGAACTGAAAGCGTGCCAAAATAAGCCGTAAAGATTTTCTGTTTTCCGATTCTCTGGATGAACTCAAGTGTCGGGCACTGAAGGCTCACCTGATCTCTCCACTGCTGCTTAAGTGCTTTACTGCGGTTGGAAGAAACGAACGCCACGATACGCAATTGAGGATATATGCAACGCAATAAGTATAATAACGATATCAGTAGAATTACAGCCTATTCTCTTCCACGTTACAACCAAAAACAAATAAAAAAACTTTACATCATCATATACCCTCGCAATTTCTACATCTTCACATAAGCACCCTGCCCCCTCTCACCACTTAACTCGCCCAAGCACTTCATTCGCCTTGGAGAACCGGAAGAAGGCGGAGAACCCTGAATTACGGTGAAGGAGCAATGCCGAAAATAATAAGCAAAAGAGAGTACACCGCGCAGCGATTGAAGCGCAGCTCCTCAGCCACAGCGACCGCAGTCGCTCCCACGACACCATGTCCAGCGGCCACGTCGGCGTACGCGCAGCGCTCCTGCTCGCTTTGACTGCACTGGCGCCCCTGCTGTGCATCGCTCATGACGCCAGTTGCAAAGACACGAGCGGGAAGTACGAGACGTCGTACACGTGTGAGGGATTCAAAGATCCGCACGACTTCGAGCGGCACCTCAACCACGGCCTCGTTCCTCACTCGTCGCGTGGACTGAGCTTCATCCTGCGCGACTCGCGTCCGCGCGACTTCCCCGTCGGCTGGCTGGAGGGCATCAATGCTACTCTTCTCGAGTTCCAGAACGTCACGCTCGCGTCACCCGAATCGTACGACGCGGTGCTGTCTGGGCTCGCAGGAGACGCGCTGCCATCCTCGGTGGAGCGTCTCGTATTCAGGTACGATGTGATCACGCGTCTTTGGCGCCACGCAAACACTCGCGTTCAATATTTGCGGTAACTTAGGGCCAGCGGTGCAAGTGGCCGCAGCCTTAAACGGCGGGGAAGTGTTTCTGAATCACCCCACTTATTATTTTCTGGTGAACTGCTCATATTTTTGTTGTCACTATTCAGTAAGGCTTTGTACAACAGACGCCGTGCTGCGTGAGCAATAATTGTGTAGCTAATCAGCAAGAAGTAGCGTAATCATCAAATTGTCAAGAAGCATGTGTAGGCATCATCAAATTACTTCTGACTGCACTATTTTGAAAAAACGTACTATTTGCGTGTTCACTTTTCTCCGGCTTGTAATTAAAGTGCCTCAATATAGTGAAAAAAAGAATCTTGGATCGGGGCTGTTCGTATATAGCTTGAAAAATTGATAAACACAACTCTGAAAAACACGTAAACAAGAAGAAAACTTTTGACAACCACACACACCGGGTTGTCAAAACCCAGCCTTAGTGGTCATCTAAGCCTCTCTTTTTGTGTGCGTGTCTTTCAAAGCTTCGTTCATGAAAAATTGCACGGGACTACGTCCGCACCTTCGCACAAAAGTAGCGCCTCAAATAAGCTTACTTGAAGGAACCGTTTCGCCTGTCTTCCGTTGCCATACACAAGCATTTAGCACTTCTTAGAGGTTAGAAGATGGGTGTACACTTGCGTCGAAATTGATTTCACTAAATGGTTAGTGATTATCAGTATACCGATAACGTAGCCAGGGGGTGGCACACCAGACCCGGGCTCACCCCCCTCCCTTATTTTTTTGCCATGGCATAGAGCGAGAAATTTACACTTCAGCGGAGTGCCCCCTTCCCTCCCTACCTGAAAAAAATGTTTGTCTACGCTCCTGTATTAGACAGATCTTACGGGTAACTGATCTCATTGGTACTGCAGCAGGAGGGCTGTTCTCATTACGCCCTTACGATGTCAGCGGCACATTCGTTCGGCCGGGCAACCGCGCAGATTATATATATATAAATAAAGAAATAAATAAATAAATAAATATATATATATATATATATATATATATATATATATATATATATATATATAATAGCCATCCCACAGTAAGCATATTACATTCAAGGTACAGATTTCTGGTGCACGCAACACACTGATCTCGCGTCACTTGTGATATTACGCGGGCTTTCGAGAAGTATGGGAAGTGACGCGTGGAATAAGTACGGTAAAAAGGTAGCACGAAATCGGTACGCTGTTTATAATAATATAGTTAGACTTTCTTTGAACAGGTCTACACACGATTCAATGACATTTTGGCAATTGCGTGAGCATTTGTACAGTTACCTATAGGTGTGAGTAACTAGTAAAGTTCATTATTAAAATGGTGGCGGCTGCTGTAGTCTACTAGTAATCATATAAAGTTAGTTTTGGCAACGCCGTTTCTCTTATTTAGAATCGATGCATCTCAGAGTCCGTGAGCATTTGTATAGTTAACTATAGGTGTGAATAACTAGTAAAGTTCATTGTTAAAAATGGTGGCGGCTGCTGCAGTCTACTAGTAATCTTATAAAGTTAGTTTTTGGCCACACCGTTTCTCTTATTTAGGATTGATGCATCTCAGGGTCCAGGTTTATCGGTTTTCACATCGTCACAGGCCATCATAAATGAGAAGAGAAAGCGCCACGTCGTATAGGAAGGAAGCGAAATACAACCGAGGGGGATTTACGAAGTGACGCACCGCATTAGTTTTGTCGCACACTCATGCGACAAGGCTTTGTGACATCGGCATTTCCTGTCCCGGTGTGCCATGTAGTCGAGGCATGCGCCTCAAAAAATGTCTCATGTGGTCCTTGTGTTCATCATACGAAGAAAACTTATCCTTCCGTTGTGCGAAAAAAAAAAGTTTTATTTTCCGTGGGTCGCTGCTCCAGCGTATGAGTCGAAGCCCGAACAGCTGGTCGCTTTCGTCGTCAAATTTCTTCCAGCATCATACACGCGTGTGTGCGGCAATCAATTGGTAAAGCCCGCCACTCCCTGCATGTTTACTAACAATGAAGAAGGTGACAGCTAGCCCAATAAAACATGCCCTAGGGAACTAACACCGGGCATGTAGTAAATAGAAGCACCTTGGGTCTGCTCAGCCATAGGGAAAATAACTTGGACGCAGGAGTTGCCTGCTAACGTTATTTGCCACCAACGTTTTTTACTTCAGATTTTCTTTCATTAGTTCGTTTGCTTTGCCCATTATTGTAATATAATACATTGCCAGGTCATCCTTAAATTGTCTTTAGACATGCGGCGTTCGATTTTTGCCTCATCGCTTTTCAAAATGAAACAACGGTTACCCGTACAAACCACCGGTTTTATGACCGATACCCCGTAGTGCGTAGGAGCCAAAAAGTAAGGGCACAAGCAAGCAAGGACAAGCTGCACCCCAACGCAGTTTTTCAGACTTCAGAGGAGTGTAAGCACCCTTGCCTGCATGCCAAGGTTCGGGCATGGTACCGACTTTGCCTCATCAAAAAAAAAAAAACTCTCAAAACACTGCATATTTTACCCCTCCTTAGCTTTTTTTGGGGGGGAAGGGCGGAGGGGGGAATCGTGCTGCGTGATACTTAGGACGCCCTGTATAGATACATGTTTCCGTGCAAAACAAGCTGCAGGTCTATCGTTGATCCTCTTTCCAGGATGATGATGCCATAATGTTCTTGGTGAGAAGGCCGAAACGTGGCACAAACGCACTATAACTTAATATTGAGGTAACAATGCTAATAAGCTTTTAGCGTGGCGATTTGGCAAACATGCATAATTTCTAAACCTCAGCGCCGAAAAACGAAGACAAAAGGAAGAGACGTAGATAACAAGAGCGCAAACTTCAAACCACGTTTATTCGAGAACACACATGAATATATATAAACTTAAACCACAGACATATCGCGCCTTCCTCTCTTACAGATAAAGTACTATCAAACATAATACAAAGACAATAAACGTATAGTCAGGAACTACACAGGTAAGCGTGCATGTGTAACTGCAGCGAAGAAACCTTACAAAATAACTTGCAAAAGCCCCCAAAAAACCCTAAAAACGAAAACTGAAACGTCCATAGCGCAGGATTATTTCGGTTAAACTAAGATGGATGGATATTTGGGGTTGATCTTGCCAAAACCACTATATGATTATAAGAGACACTGTGGTGGAGGGATCCGGAAATTTTGACCACCTGGGGTTCTTTGACGTGAGCCCAAATCTGAGCACACGGCCTCGTGAAACTAAGAAAATATATTCATCAGAAACGCGAATTCCTTATCGTGAATGAGTACAGACAGTTGACTCACGCACTTAGCGCCATGTTTTCGGGTGATGCAGGCGTCACCCATTTCACGGGTTACTTGCTCTTTGTGATAAAATAGCACTGCTGTTTGTTCGAACAGTGGAGTACAGCTAAATTGACGGTGATGTAAGGCCAAGTTTGAATGAGCTGTGGTGCTCGCATAAACAGATATTAGAACATCGCCCAGCTGGGCCCACGTAAATGTGTCTGCACGAGAAGGGGGTCTCGCATACCACTCTTATTGCAAAAGACACCAAACGAATGTCATGTCTCATGGTAGACTCGCCTTTTTAACCATCATTTTTACTCTCACGCTACTGCAGCCTCGGGCGAATTCCCTTCAGCCTATTTTTGGCTGAAAACACCACAATGGCACCAAATCGTGCCGCTACTCTCTTCAGCTGGGGGGACACTCCGTGATTGTAGGGAATTATCAAGAAAAACCTGCTTCCTTCACATCTTTCTGTCGGCGCCAGCTTACCACCTGCTCTTATGGTCTTTAGCAACCTTTCACTAACCGCAGCTATAACAGGATCAAGGTACCCTGCCTGTCGCAACTTGACTGCTTGCGCGGACCTGCTTTGGCTCATCAGGCGCGGCTAAGACTTTGATATTGCATAGCGGATGCAAGAGCTGGCTATGTCGTTTCTTAGAAGTCTAGAGTGACCAAACTGGTAGTCAAGCAAGCCCTTTTGTGACCGTGGTTTATATCGCCAGCGTATTCTACCAGGGCTTAATGCTAAATGGAGGTCTAAATACTACGAAGCATAGTTCCGGGATGCCTCCCCCGTGAACGTCAAACTTTGTCCTTGCTCCCTGAAAACTTCATTACGTCAATCATTTTTGTGAAGAAATCCCGCCTATTCACGAAACCAAGTAATCGTCAACATAACAAAACACTTTGACCACCAGATCAAAAAGACTATGCTGAATGGCCCTCTCCACCTTCGCTAAAAATACTGTACTCAGAATAAGGGCAACAAAAGAACCTATGCATACGAGAGATTTCTGTGCAGATACTTTCCCTCTCTATGTCACGAACGTCGTTTCCAGTTGAGGGGATCTTCGAGGCTTCAGAATCTCGAGGAACCTCTCAACTAACACACCTGAACGAGTGGTGAACGCATATTAATTCTCTTGATTACTAATACACTCCTTTACACTGTGCAAAAGAGGGGCTTGCGGTAAGCAGTGAAAATCTCTGATGTCGAGGCTTAATGTCCTTGACCCTCCTTTTTGAAATCTTTGTGCCAGAAAATGGAGACAGAAGGAGGAGACGTAGACAACATGAGCGCAAACTTGTTTTTGAATGATGTTTGATTGTACTTTATCTGTAAGAGAAGAAGGCGTGCGATTTCTGTGATTTGAGTTCAGATATATTCGTGTGTGTTCTCAAATAAACGTGGTTTTAAGTTTGCGCTCATGTTGTCTACGTCTTTACCTTTTGTCTCCGTTTTTTTTCCGCTAAGATTTTGAAGTTAAGCATTCAGAAATACCTCACATAGCCGCATATGTATTGACCTGAGATGGCAACAAGGTGAAAGTCATGTTCATCTTCATTATCTTCACTTTCCATGTACTAATATTTCCCCACCCTGAAAGATTTCTCTGCCTGATGTGATTTAGCGCACATTGTAGGCACCCGCTTTGTCCACCTCCCCTG